CCCCCCCCCCGCCCCATACAAATGTAATTCTTTTAGGTCCAATGATATGTTAACCTGTCTTTACGAGCATTGATTACAAGATAAATAATCCCGAAGTCACAAGAATAAGGTGCTTTCCAAGGGCCCATCTGTTTTAGCAGAGTTGGAACACAGCTCTCGATCCCCATTACTTGTCAAGCAGAAAGTTGAGCAGAATGATGGAACTCTCAAGGGACAGGCACGACGCCAAGTAATATCATCAGTGAAATCCCGCTGACCTTCTGTTATGCATCCGTACCTTCCATGTCTTAAAGACGCCAATTATGAACAGGCCATGAGAATGTGTGGAAGGGATGCGTACTTTTGCCCAGATAGATGAGCGTCACAAGTAATCACAGACAGTCGGGATTGCTTGTTGTTTAGGAAGTTCTAGCCTCAGTTTTATGTTCTCTGTATATGGAATCTATTTGACAAATGTATTTCTCACTCCCCCCCTTTCCCTTCCAGGAAATCAAGATTTGTGCCACTGTGCATTTTTATATAATATCTATGTGTCCCAAGAGGGTGAATCTGAATATATTTGCATATAGCATATACTACAGGTACCCAGATGTGATGAGGCTTTTGCTAACAAGTATTTCCAAATCAAGGGAGATTTTTTGCTGTGCTCCTGGGCCTTCTAGGCTAGATCAGAACAGGCCCACTGTACCCTCTATATGGGTTTAATTATTCCAAGGGAAGATTCCAACGATACTGTGAAGAGTATTCCTAACCTTTCCAGATATATCAGAAGTCTGGAGGACTCTGGGAATCATTCTACCTATAAGTATTCTTCAGAAAAGAGTAGCTCCAGCACCAGAAACTCTTTCCTCTATCTAGCTTTGTCCAAAGCAGTTTTGGACCCCTATTCTCTCCCCGTCACAGCCCTTCTCTAGATTCCAGAAGTTGCAAGAGCAGTATTTGTGACCCCAGCATTTGAGTTTCTACAAGGTATGAATGGCCAAACTCACTTAGCAGAGAGGCACGATTAATGGCAAGAGGCAGCTATGTCCTTCAGCAGGATCCATTCTGCCAGTCTTGGAGACTCGTTTCTACCTTGGCATTCTTCTGGACAATTACTCTCTCTCTGACTACAAAAGTAAGTATTTGGGTGGGGAGGGTTTGGGCAGGAAATCACAGCTGTATTAAAACTTTCATTAAGTAAAATAAAATGTCGAGGAGGAGAGGTAATGGAGAAATGAAGGGGGGAAAAAAACCCCACCTCCTAACCTTATTGTAATAAAAAACTTGGCTTTGGCCTTCTTTCTAACTAAACACTCTCATATATTGATTCAAAATGAGTGTCAGTTGTTAATACACGTAAACCAGTTCAAAAGACCAGAAGTGAGCGGAAGAATCCTAGAAAATTTACAGTGGGTTCTGCCTACTGGTAACTGAAGATTCTGACTTACTAAAGTTTTTCTAATACACTCGAATTTACCAATTAAAACAATTCTTGGAAATTGTTTTAATTATTTGTTTTGAGGGAGGAGCAGAGAGAGAGGGAGGGAGAGAGAATCCCAAGCAGGCTCCACACCATCAGCACGGAGCCTGCCTTGGGGCTCGAACCTATGAACCAGGAGATCATGGTGACCTGAACTGAAACCAAGGATCGGGCACTCTGACTGAGCCACCCAGGCACCCCAAAACAACTTTTTTTCCCCTAATACTGAAGACATCAGCAGAGTTAAGATGTTCTAAATGTAACCTCTCATCTACTCCTATTAACCTATGGTGTGCAAAGCATATCCTTTTTAAATTTTGAGGTAGCTGATTGAAAGAAAATGTGTGTGTGTGTAGTAACTATTTAAGAGACATTGTAAATGAACTCTGTTCTGCAAGTAAAACACATGAGGAGAAGCAATCTTTAGTGAGAGGCAGGAAATTAAAAAAAAAAAACAGAGACTTATTCCCATTTTTTAAAACTTCAAGTGCTCTGGATTATTCTGACTTAAAAGAGGGAACATTTACTGCTGATCACCATGTGCTCTGTTCATGCCCTGAATTCGTGGGGGAGATCACAACTTTGTCACACGGAGCAGAAGAGAAACAGTTGTTGGAGTTTGACACATTTTCCAATAGAAGAAAAATCCAGTTGCCAACTACATATGGGTTCATTTTGGGTTCCTGGAACTGATAACACATCAGCATGTCTTACGAAACTTGTGCATGGCATGTTATTGCAGCTGTATATCATCAGAGAGAAAAAAAATAATTGGTTTTCCTTAGAGTATCTCGAAGTTGATGTCATATTCAATAACCCTGTAGTTGAAAAATCTATATATGATGGATGAAGTTTGGACTATCTTGAATTTAATTCCTCCTGTGCCAGCTTCTACAGGCCCTGGTCTACCTGTCATTTTGAGGTGAGTGCGTGCATTATCTAGAAAATGCACCCAGGTGTTCCTTTTGCCAGAATATGAACTATAGGAGAACAATTTGTCTCACATGTACAACAGTCTCATTCCTCACCCTTAACTATGCCAAGGAAGAGCCAGTTTAAACTTGGAACCCCGCACCAGGGTCAGTGCCAAGGCACAGCTTGAATTAGTCCTGTGCGTTACAGAGTGAGGGGCACAGCTTCTCCTTCTGTAGAATGGGGACTCTAGAGACAGGCCTTAAACAGACCAGCTTCTAAAGTAGGGTCCCAGGCCCGTCACCAACATATCCTCATCAAGAACTCTTCCTTGGGAGAGTAAGTACTATTTTTGGATCTGCTCATGAGGACTCTCAAAAAGAAAACATTCAGAGCTTTGTCTCTGGTCCAGACCAAAAAAAAAAAAGCCAACTTAGATGTAGTCTCAAGGCCCCCATATCATCAGCATTACAGGGCTGACCTCAGGATGCAGCCTCTTGAGCCTGGGGATCTGGCTTGATTTGGAACTTTTGGACACAGCCTGGCCTCCTGTTGGAAGTGATGCGTCCATATTTTGGAATTCAGATTTGTAAAACACGGGATGCAAAATAATCTGTCTTCTTGTACTCGGTTTTATGTTGTACAGCCGACGAACACACGTGGTTACAGAAGAGCAAACCTCCCCACCTTGGTTTATGCATCCCTAATTTGAAATGTAAGTATAATATAATCTTGACAAAGTTAATCTTACCTCTGGCCAGAGGGCAGAGCTGTCTGCATTGTTAACAACTTGGAGGTGAATTCCTTTCATATTATTTAAGACAGCAGACGAGGAAAACATAATGTCCTTACCGATTAGCAAAGCTTCTTTCTCTGATTTTAAGCCTTGGCTTCTTTTTTCCATATTGTTCTCTCGGTCTTGGTTGACCAATGCGACTGTCAACACGTTGATTTCCTATGAAGTTAAACAAAAACCATAGAGGTGTTCATGTAGATTTTGTGCATTTCAGTGAGCCACCTGGACTTTTCAACTCTATAAAAAAAGGTCATCATTTCCATTTTTAACTGAACATCAACTTTTATAAGTAATTGATCTATGTGCTCAACAATAAAAAAGTAGTACTAAAACTTAGGCTCCTAGCTGCTCCCAGCAAACCAAGTAACTATGGAAAAGTAGCAAATTTGGCATAAATTATCTTAGGTTTCTGTCCATGTTTTGATTAATCTCTGTTAACAAAAACTATTTTATTGTAGCCACTTAAACATGCTTTTATTTCAAATATAAAAAAAACTTCCCCCAAAGCATGTACGAACTGATTTATAATACTATGCTAGTAACTTGTATGTGTGTGTGGAGAAATAGGGCCTATTGGGAAGGTGAGATAGGATTGTCATTAGAAGTGTTTAAGTTGAATAAGTAGATGTCCTTATACACAACTGCAAAAGGGAGATAAAGCAAAGGTTGAGAAATTCTTTTCTTCGGAAACTAAAAATGAAGAATTATACCACAAACCAGTAACATGTGGAACATTGAAGTTGAACTATTTTTAGTTCTATGGTCTTTTCTGTTGAGAAACAGGGAAAAACATTTAACTCCTATTCTCCCGGACCTGATATTAGGATTCAAAATGGAGAATGATTTAATAGGAAATCAAATGCAACGATCAGAGACCTACATATATGGGATAGAATCACTAGGGTAGCTGAGGCTTGGAGGGACATCTCTCACTGAAAGATAGGTCTCAAAGAAGGATGGGCATATTGGGCAGAGAGTTAAGGATACTGTCTCCATTAGATGATGAGAAATCTGCCAGAAGGACAGAGGTTAGTAGGGAGGGACAAAGGAGGACTTAGAAGGTCTGGGCAAAAGGTTTGGCAGGTGGTACCAAGACAGGAACTGGTTACAGGGATAGATGCTGATCTAGTCAATTCAACTTGACAAAATTAGCCAGATAAAAGAATAGGGAAATAGTTGGGAGCACGTTGAACCTGTACAGAGCACAAACCCTGTCTGAAGGCCTTCAAATAAAAGAAAAAGAAGAAAAAAACCCAAACCTCAGTGTATATCAATCACAAAAGATCTGGGAGCTAAATTTACCCTACGAGCTACTGCTTTGGAAATTGGGGGGCGCCTGGATGGCGCAGTCGGTTAAGCGTCCGGCTTCAGCCAGGTCACGATCTCGCGGTCCGTGAGTTCGAGCCCCGCGTCGGGCTCTGGGCTGATGGCCCGGAGCCTGGAGCCTGTTTCTGATTCTGTGTCTCCCTCTCTCTCTGCCCCTCCCCCGTTCATGCTCTGTCTCTCTCTGTCCCAAAAAAAAAAAAAAAAAAAAAAAAAAAACGTGGAAATCAGGGGTAATTATAGCAATTGGCAGGAAAAAAAAAAGGCTCTAAGAAATTGCAATTTGGTGAACATTTTGGAGGCTCCTCTAAAGGTCCCACTTACCTGCCGAAGATGAGTAAGGTAAAGAATCGAGGGAATCACAGCGGGGTGGTGGATTGATCAGAAGGAAAATGCTGGTTGGCTAGAGGGTACCTGAGGCCTGAGGCTGACGGCAGGAGGGTGCCCATGAGGACAGTATGGTCCCAGGCAAGGCTGGAGCCAGCTGCACCACTAGAGATTCAAGATGTCCTTATACTTCCCACAAGGGATCTTGGGAATCAGCACCGGTAGAAACATAGTCCAGAATGTTAAAACAGACTAAACCTAAAGGCTGACGTAGATGAGATCAGAAGAGGAGTTCCAGGAAAGATGTAGGGATACCCTCTGCGAGGAAACAACATGGCTGCGTTTTAAGGGCTAGAAGAGGTTTCGGAGGAAAGAGACGGAAAGACGTTACCGAGGATGATGACTGCAGCATTTAAGAACAATACAAATAATGAACCTCGGGGATTAGCGGAAACAGTGTCTCCAGGAGAGGGTGATCTGTTCACAGCCTGGATGATACCCGGAGGCCAAATGAAATTACTGGGGAGCGTTTAGCAGACAAGAGGCCCACGTTAACTGACAAAGCTGAGTGGGGTCCTGGAGCCGTCACACAGGTGAGGATCCAGGTTTAGGAAGGGAACTGGACCCCAGGGGCAGGCAGTACATCAGGAGGCAGCAAAGGATGGCAAGGGCAGAACACGCTGAGACCACTCTAGGGTGCTGTTAGGCCTCTGTCCCCTATTCAAAGCTGGAGGGCATGTCGAGCAAGTCCCAACAGATTCTCCAAGGCGCCGATAACCGCCTACCACTGACTGTTGCTTTGATGATGACTTAGGGTCGTGTCTATGAGGATGGAAAGAGGAGTCCTGGGAAATATCTTTGAGACCGAATATGGCAGCATGTGCTCTAACCACAAACGGTGTTCTCCTACATGGTCGCCGCCAGTGACTCTGGAGGGGACACGCCTCTCTGCAAGGCTTCAACAGCAACGCAGGAGGCATGGGTCCAACAGAGACCTGAGGCTTGGCAGTGCTTCAGCCTCCGGGCACCACTGTGGGTTCTGCCCAGGGTACATAGGGCGCTGTTCTTTTGACTCCTTCGGCAGGGAGAACTGTTCTGGGAAGAGTACAGGACCGAATGAAACCGATCAGGCAGGCTCCAAGAAGTGCCCGGATGTTGTAAGAACTTGGGTGTCAAGAACCCGCTAAAGGGGAACTATCATTTCCATGATAGAGCAAGGGGTGTCTAAGCCTACCGAGAGCCTTGGGGCCACAACATCACTGGGGAAGCGGACCAACCCGTGGCCACTCAAAAGCGGTACTAATGACCAAGTGCCCTGGAGCCCAAGCTGGCCTCCGGCATGGGCTTCTGCACAACAAAAGACAGAATGGCAAGAGAGCAAAAGTGATGGGGACAGGGTAAGGAAGGGAACCCCCACCTCTGAAGTGGTGAACGGCATTGGGGAGGGACAGGACTGGGGACCTGGAACTCCTCTGTCCTTGGACACAGAAAAAAAAAGCCATGGTTTAAAAGAGCACCGAGCTAGCTCAGTCCATTAGCGTCCGACTCTTGATTTCAGCTTAGGTCATGATCTCACAGTTTGGAAGTTCAAGCCCCATGTGGGGCTCTGCGCTGTGTCAGTGTGGAGCCTGCTCGGAATTTTCTCTCCCACTCTCTCTGCCCTACTCATGCCTTCTGTCTCTCAAAATAAACAAACAAACCTAAAAAAAGATTTTTTTTAAAAAGAGTGACCAGCATCCCTAAGAGCCAGCCCTTTGAGCTCCACCAAATGGCAGAAGAGCTGTGGGGACACTCTCTGAGTCACAGGGACTGGAGAACAACACGGTTTACGCATAGACCAGAGGTAGGTCTATACCCTCAGGTCCTCCAGGCAAACATCAGCCCTGGATGCACTTGGGCACACACACACACACAAAGCTGCAGTTTAAAAGAGTAGCTGGCATGAAAAACAGCCCGCTCTAGAATTCTGCTAATGGTAGGGGTAGCTGTGGGAGGGCTCTCCGGGTGGGAGGGGCTGATACACAGTCTCCGCTCACTACCCCTCCCACACACTTTGAAAGCACAGAGTGATGTCCTGGCCTCCTGCCTCAGTGAGCCCTGGACCCCTAGCCCACACCCCTACCAGCCAGCCCACCAAGGTGGCCACAGGGCGTGCACACTGGGATATCCTTAGTTAGCACTCACTACAGCTCCAGCCTTCGTGCTAAGATCACAGTCACAAGGCCCCCCCAGAACGCTCATGGCCCACACCACTTTGGCTTCAGATGGCTGGCTAGGGCACCCCCCCCGTGTAGAACACTCCAGAATGTTTTGGCTGCCATGTGCTTGAGATCCAGTTGCCCTGCCAGGGTGCCCCAAACCCCAGTCCATGCCTGCATCAGTTCCAGTCATCCCATCAGGGCGCCCCCTGTGCAGAGCACCCCAACACTCCTTTGCCCACATTGGCCTTGGCTTTGGTTGCCGACCAGGGAACCCCCTGCATGGAGTACCCAGAGACACCTCAAATCGCACCAAATTCAGTGAAAGCTGTCCTGCCAGGGCGCCCTCTGCACAGAACACCCCAGAACCTCCTGGCCTGTACCCCACCTCAACGCCATCCCCTCCTTCGGGGCATCCTCTGCCGAGAGTCCCGAAACATCCCGGTTTACATCCACTTCAGCTTCAGCCATCCTGCCAACATGCCCCCTGGGCTTCGAGCCCCAGGTCCCCCTGGTTTGCATCCACTTTAGTTCCAGCTACACTGTCAAGGAAGGCTCTGTGCAGAAAACTCTGGGAACTCCCGGCACCCACACTGCCTTAGCTCCAGCCACGCTGCTAGGGCACCCCTTGCACAAAGTGCCCCGGACAGCCCGGGTCACAACCATTTCAGCTGTCTTGCCAGGTGCCCTCAGCACACAGAATCCGAGGACACCCTGGCCCGCATCTGCTTCAGCTGTCCAGACATGGCACTCTCTGTGTGGAAAGCCCTGGGGTCCCCAGCCCATGCCCGTCACAGCTCAAGCCAGCCAGCAGAGATCGCCAAGCACACACCATCTACCTGGAGGATGACCATATACAGGATAATTCCTTCAGGTTTAGGAGAAGTAACTGTTACATCTAATCCACAGAAACAAACACAGAATGTTAAGCAAAACAGGGAGACAGAGGAATATGCTCCAAAATAAAGAACAAGACAAACCCTCAGAAAAAGAACTACATGAAATGGAGACAGGCAATATGCTTGATAAAGAATTTAAAGTAATGATCATAAAAATGCTCACTGGGCTGGCGAGAAGAGTGCAAGAATTCAGTGGGGCCTTCAATAAAGAGATAGAAAACATAAAAAACAACCAATCAGAATTGAATACAATCACTAAAATAAAAAACCACAGTAGAGGGAATCAATGGTAGATTAGCAGATGCGGAAGAATACGTCAGCGATCTGGGAGGTAGGGTACTGGAATGCACACAAGCTGAAAAGCAAAACAGAAACGAATTAAAAAAATGAAGGCAGGTTAAGGGATCGTTTG